TTTCCGGAAAATTTTTTACGGACTGCACACGCAAGTTGAGTAATGATAAATAGTTCTTTTCGAGGTCTTAGAATACAGAATTAATTATTAAATTTAAAGATGACATTTTGGGTCATCATATGCCTCTGCCGCGGCCCCAGCCTCTCGTGGCCCTAAATGATGGTACTGGTGGCTATACGACAAGAATACAAGAGTGAAGTTTTCCTAATGGTTCGGTAGCCTCTCGAAGATAAGTACGGACGTCTCTGTACCGATCCGCATGACTCTACTAAACCTGCTCATGGCTTATGAGACCTATGTAACTTAGGTTCTGATACCAACTTGCCATGGCCCAAAATCACACATGTCATGATGGCAACTATCGCAATACTAGCCAAGCTGATAATCACAAATAACCATGCATTTTTAAATTTGCAAACATAATGAAATAAGCTTAGCAGTGAAAATCTCATAAATAACATATAATAAAATACCGCGACTCAATAAAAAATCCCCAAAATCCGAGTGTCACTGGGTATATGAGCTACTAAAGTGTCAACATAGTTAGACTGCTAACACAAATGTCTAGAAAGATGGAACAATGCTAAATAAACTGAAAGGAATGAGAGTTGAGATATGCGGACGCCAAAGCAGCTACCTCAAAAGTCTCCAAGCAGAGGAAGCTCCAAATCTAGCAACCGCCGTGCCCAGAAGTACCTGGATCTGCACATGAAGTGCAGAGTATAGTATGAGTACAATCGACCCAATGTAATCAATAAGTAACAGGTCTAACATTGGGTTAAAAGTAGTGACGAGCTTAGATAGGTACAGTCCAAATCCAGATAATAACAATAATAACTCAGAGAGAAATCCAATAATCATTTATAGACAATACAGAAATGTAGACATGCTTTCTAGTTTTAACAGTTTGAGCTTAACACAAATAGAACATGCCAAGTATGACCAATATAAGGAATGCCACATCTCAATATCTACATGTCAAGTATGCATGTCAACTGTAATGCAACACAATGATAAAGTCATATACTCATACTCTCGGAGTACTCATCCTCACTCAGCATGCTCAATCACTCAGTACTCCCAACCACTCAGCACTCTCAATCACTCGGCACTCGCACTCGGCCCACGCCCTCGGTAGGTACATGCGCTCACTACTGATATGTCTAACTCAGGAGGGGCGGATCCTGCCCAAGAGCTAATATAAGCTAATCATGGCATGAATCAATAAAGCCTATTATGATGTGAAGCCCGATCCTATAAATATCACTCACAATCAGGCCCTCGGTCTCACTCAGTCATCAATCTCTCCAGTCTCTCGTGCTCACAAATCTCATGACAACCAGCCCAAACAATGACAATATGATGTAATAATAAATGGTAATAGAGACTGAGATATGATATTCAAATGATAGATATGACTGAGTACATAAATGCAATTTAAGCAAATAATTCAACAACAAAAACGACCTCTGTGGATCCAACCAGTACCAGTATATAGCCTAAATGTGAAATCTAATATGGATCACATCTCAATTCCTCTAATACATGGAGATTATATGAATAATAACAAGATTGGGTAGTTGCACAGTCCCACAGAATAAACCGAGTCATAATTACTACGGTGCACGCCTATACGCCCGTTAACTAGCATGTGTGTCACCTCAACACCAACCACATAACACGTAGTTCGGGGATTCATACCCTCAATATCAAGTTAGAAGTGTTACTTACCTCAAACCGTACAAATATCTACTCCAACAAGCCCTTGCCTCGTGAATCGACCTCCGAACGACTCGAATCTAGCCACATACAACTAAACAATCAACACAAGCTACAGGAATCAATTTCCTATGATAAAGCTATGTTCTTTAACAAAAGTCAAAAAGTCAACCCCTGGCACACGTCTTGGAATCCAACAAAATTTACAAAATTCGAATACCCATTCAATAATGAGTCCAACCATACCAAAATTACCAAATTCCGACATCAAATCGCCGCTAAAATCCCCAAATCTTAAGCTACTCTCCAATCCCTAGTCCAAAATTTTTCAAATTCGACCTTAAAAACACATAATCTAGTTGGGAAATTCAATGGGTATTCAATATTAATAGATAAACGACCAAAAGTTGCTTAGCTATTCAAATCTAGTGAAACCCCTCTCAAAATTCTCCTCCAATCGAGCTTGCAAAGTCCAAAAATGAAGAAATCTCGGAACCCTTAGAATTAATACACTGCCAGTTCCATCGCACATGAGGTTCACTTAACCGCATTTGCCTCCCCGCAGGCATGACCAAAATTCCTTTTCTATTATTTCCATGAAGGCCCCCTACCTTCTCTTCTGCTGACCAGACTCCGCTTCTGCGGAGTCGCACCAGCGACCTCCTCTCCGCTCGCACCAGACCAGAAACACTTCGGCATTTCCCTTAAGTCTAAACTCATTCTGATTTCAATCTGAATCATTCCCGAGGCCCTCGGGACCACATTCAAACATACTAACACATCCCAAAATATCATACGAACTTAGTCGCGGCTTCAAATCACATCAAACAATATCAAAAATATGAATTGCACCCCAATTCAAGCCTAATGAAACAAATGGATTTCCAACTCCTACAATTGATGCCGAAACCTATCAAACCAATTTCGATTGACCTAAAATTTTGTACATAACCCATAAATGACACAACGGACCTATTTCAACTTCCGGAACTAAAACCCGAGCCCGATAACAATAAATTCAACCGTCGGTCAAACTTCTATTTTTTCAACTTTTGCTAATTCAAGCCAAAATGACATGCGGACCTCCATATACATATCCGGACGCACTCCTGTGTCAAAAATTACCATACGGAGCTATCAGAATCATCAAAACTCCATTCTGAAGTAATTTACACATAAGTCAACATTCGGTCAACTCTTTCAACTTAGGCTTCCAATCTTGTGACTAAGTGTCCCAATTCATTCCGAAATATCCCCGAAACCAAACCAACCACCCTGCCAAGTCACATATTAATAATCAAACACATAATAAGCAATAAATGGGGGAACGAGGCTATAATACTCAAAACGACTAGTCGGGTCATTACACATATGAGCCTCGCTTTCCGTATCTTGTCATCCATACGAGCCACACGCACATTCTCCCGAATATCTTCATTCCTAACCTTATTCTTCCTAGTGTGTACGTACATCCATCTCAACATCCTCATTTTTGCTACTTTCATCTTCTGGATGTATGAGTTCTTAACTGACCAACACCCATCCCCATACAACTTGGCTGGTCTAATCACCGCTCTATAAAATTTAACTTTGAGTAACAGAGGCATTTTCTTATCACACAGAACTCCAGATGTTAATCTCTATTTCTTCCACCCCACCTCTATACGGTGTATGATATCCTCGTCGATCTCCCCATCCCCTTGGATAACCGACCCAAGGTACTTGAAATTGCCTCTCTTGGGGATGACCTGAGATTCAAGTCTCACTTCCGTGCCCGCTTCCCTCGGCTTCGCGTCGAACTTGCACTCCAGGTATACAGTCTTAGTCCTGCTCAACTTGAAACTCTTAGACTCAAGGGCCTGTCTCCAAACCTCCAACCTCTCGTTAACGCAGCCTCACGTCTCATCAATTAGAACTATGTCATCAGTTTCTAATGTTAGGGTAGACATTTATTATGTGATGTTCTCAAAATTTTGTGATGATTAGGAATAATATATGGCTTAAGAATAATTTTGTTATTCCGTTTACCAAATAAAATCGGTTTGTTGCTGTACATTTTATAGCATGCATAAAAACAGACAAATCAAATATTTAAGGTTGTAAGCATCGGTTAGGTTTACATTAATGGTTAAAATTTATTTTATAACTGTCGTCTTAGCTCTTTTCATGTCCATTAAGAAAAATAATAAATACAATATATAATTTACTAAGTTTTCCTATTAAATATTTTTTGAGAATTGAGTAGTATCAAAAAGAACTACTACTTCTTTAATATTAAGAGTATAGTTTGAAATAATTAATAAATTTAATCTTGAAATCCTAAAGTGGCAATTATTTTTGGACAAACTTTTTGTGTTAAAGCGACGCTTAAAATGAGACGGAAGGAGAAGATATTTTAAAAAGCCTTTAATCAAATGAAAATGGATGGAGTATTTATTGTTCCCACTATTCAACATAACTTGACAGATCGGATTCCACGAACCAACCGGCAATGAGTTAGCCTTTTTTTTAGTAAGTCAAGAAGTTTATTCATGACCACTAACATGGAGTTAGAAATAAATTAAGGGTGTTATACAACAGTTGGTGCCATTAAAAATTATTTACACACCCAAGGCAGCCCACATTATATTAGTTGTTATATATTAGTTGAGATATCTTGAATTAAATCCTCCCTATATATATTAACAGACAATACAGATTCCATCATTTCCACAATCTTATTCTTGAATTTGATGGCTTATACTGCTGTAATTTCTCTTCTTCAAATTCTTGAGCAGAGAAACCCAGAACTTATTCATGCTCAAACTACTAAAACGATCGAAACACTTCATGCTACTGCTAAATATTTTCAAAAAGTTCTTGAAGAAGCTGGCAATAGTAGGTTTGACCATGAAAAAATCAAATCTTTGGACGAAAAAATAAGAGTTGTTGCTAGTGATGCAGAACATGTTGTCGAGCTGAAGATTTGCCAAATCATCGAAGGCTTAAGTTGGACATTTGGAATTTTACAACACGAGGATTTGCTACCGGTTATTGCAAAAATGGATAAAACAAAGAAAGAAGTAATGGAGATTGTTTCTGATTTTAGTACAAGTACTCATAATGCTGACGGTGATCAAATTCTTGAATTATCCGAGGATTCCTTAATTGGCACTTCTTCTAGAAGTTATCCAATGCGGGAATATTTGGAATATGATATGGTGCAGGGACTTGATGATGACTTGGAGACCATAGTTCAAAATTGACAGGACCACCGTCGGATCTAGACATTGTCACAATAACAGGCATGGGTGGCATTGGCAAAACAACACTTGCCAGAAAAGCTTATGATCATCTCCCAATCAGGTATCATTTTGACATTCGTGTTTGGGTTACAATATCTCAAGAATTTCGATGTAGAAATGTGTTGTTAGATGCTTTACATTGTATTTCAGGGCCAAATGTTTTCAACAGAATAGATTATGATAAGAAGGATGACAATGAGTTAGCCGACTTGGTGCAGAAAAACCTCAAGGGTCGAAGATACCTTGTTGTTGTTGATGATATTTGGAGTACGGATGTCTGGGATAGAATAAGGAGAATATTTCCTGATTACAACAATAGGAGTCGAATCTTATTGACTAGTAGGGAAACTGATGTAGCGATGTATGCAAATAGTAGCAGTCCTCATGAGATGAACCTCTTAAATTTAGATAATAGTTGGAAGTTACTTGGTGATAAGGTGTTTGGACCAAAACATGATCATCCTCCAGAGTTGGAAGAAATTGGAAAGAAAATAGTAGGAAAATGCCAAGGACTACCCTTAACAATTTCAGTGATAGCGGGACATCTTTCTAAAATCGCCCGGACATTAAAAAGTTGGAAGGATGTTGCCCGAACCTTAGGTGAAATCGTTGCTAGCCATCCAAATAAATGCTTAGAAGTGCTCGGTTTGAGTTACCACCACTTACCTAATCACCTCAAACATTGCTTTCTTTCTATGGGTAGTTTCCAAGAGGACTTTCAGGTTGAGACGGGGAGACTGATCCAATTATGGATTGCGGAAGGTTTTGTAAGGGCGTCTGAAAGTGGTAAAAACTTGGAGGAAGTGGCAGTAGATTATTTGGAGGATCTTATCAGCAGGAACTTGATATTGGCTCAAAAAAGGAGATTCAATGGTGAGATAAAAGTATGTGGAATGCATGATCTACTGCGTGAATTCTGTTTGATCGAAGCTGAAATGACAAAGTTTATGCATGTTGAGAGAACTGAGCTAGATGTCCCTACTCTTCCAACACAAAAGCATAATGTTCGTCGCTTCAGTTTTCAAACCCAATTTTATTCAGTTGACGATTGTTGTAAGCTATTACCCCCTGTTGCCAGATCTATCTACTTATTTTCTAGATTGGATCTACCTTTTGCGACACGTGTTAAGCTTCACGAGGTATTGCCCATCTACCACCGTCGTCCTATAATACATGAATTTTTCTCCCGTTTCCACCTTCTCAAGGTATTGGCCATCTTCCATGAACATGTAGGGTTCAATTCATTTCCACTAGTGATTACAAAGTTATTTCATTTAAGATATATCCAAGTTCGATGTAACGGCAACATTCCTGATTCAATTTCAGAGCTTCTGAATTTGCAAACTCTTATTACTCATAGGAACAAATACGAAGAGAAAACTTTACCAGGGAAGATATGGATAATGAAGAACTTGAGGCATATACATCTGGGAGGACCCAGTTATTTACCCAGTCCAAGAAGAGAAAGTATTCTAAACAAGCATCTCGTGTTAGGGATGCCAAATCTAGAGCAACTTTCTGGTCTTTGTTCCACCAGTTGTACAAATGAAGTCTTTTCTGTCATTCCCAAAATAAAGAGATTGATCGTACTTTATTCCCCAAAAGATCATATGGCCAATCGCCTCATTGATATGTCCAGCTTGAGAAAACTCGAAGCATTGAAGTGTTTCAGGAAAAGTATATTGCCAAGCTCCATCAAAAGTTCTATTTTCCCAACATCAGTTAAGAGGTTGACTTTAGCTGGCTGGTTTCAATTTCCTTGGTACGAAATATCAACTCTTGTCATGTTGCCAAATCTTGAAGAAGCTCAAAATTAAATATAATGCAGTCAGAGGTCAAACATGGAGATTGAGTGATAAAGACAAGTTCGAACGCCTAAATTAGTTGTTATTTAACAGCCTAAATCTTGAGTGTTGGGAAGCTAGCAGTGATAGCTTCCCAAATTTAAAACGCCTCGTTCTGAAAAATTGCAACTATATCAAAGAAATTCCAACAGATTTTGGGGAAGTTTATACTTTGGAGTCAATTGAGTTACATAATTGCCCGACTCCTGTTGAGGATTCTGCAAGAAAGATTAAATAAGAACAAGAGGACATGGGAAATAATTGCTTTAAGGTCTATATCTACAGCAGTCACAGTAAGTTTAAGATTTCTCAATAATATTCTTCGATATATTCTTTACATTATTAAGTACCTCATCTTTGTTAAAATTTTCCTCCTTGAAATTAAGATGATTTCTACTTTTTATCTTGCAATATATGCAGGTGATTGAGGCTTATTTTGAGGGATCATCTAACACTATCTTCCAAATACAAAAGTAAAATCTTTTCTTTTTTAATGTTCTTATGCATTGTTAAATTTTGGACAAGAGGGGTTGCTCTGATGGTAAGCAACCTCCACTTCCAACTAAGAGGTTGTGAGTTCGAGTCACCCCAAGAGCAAGGTGGGGAGTCCTTGGAGAGAAGTATGCCGAGGGTCTATTGGAAACAACCTTTCTATCTCATGGTAGGGGTAAGGTCTGCGTACACACACTACCTCCCCAGACCTCACTAGTGGGATTATACTGGGTTGTTGTTGTTTTTGTTGTTATGCATTGTTAAATTTATGTTTTAGGAATAAGCATGTTTCTTTGCATAAATAGCCGGCGATATTCATTGTTTATTTTTTATAGCCATATTAAATAGATTATATATTGATTATACATAATTATATACATATAATACATAAATTATGCATATATTATACCTCAACCAGTTATTTTTAGTTTAAATAGTTAGGTGGGTGGCTGGGTTAATTCTTTTTACCATACTATTAAACCTTTTATTTATTGTAATTTGAGCTCACCAAACTCCAATCCTTTTTACTGCTCTGCTTCAACTTCCTATTTCATGTGGTTCCATGCGCTCAAAGGTGCCTTATCTAAATCTTGTAGCTTATGAATTGTGTAAAAATATTGTTACTGGTCAAGCTGTTTAAGCTAATGAATTGTGTCGAAATGTTGATATTGACCAGTCCAGTTCACTTACATCAATTTCGTGAAATCACTCATCGAGAGCCCCAAAGATGTCAAAAAATAGTCAGAAAAGAGATGGAATCCTACTTTTGTACATGTGAGGAAGTGATGACGAAGTAACAGAAAGGATATAAAGAGCTAACCCAAACAACATAATCATTTTTCAGACATCAAAGACAAATCCAGGAGAATTTTGATAAGATAATTGTATTGGAAGGGAAAAATAAGGTTCGTTTTAGTTGGCAGAGAAAAAAGGGAATTGGCTATGAATTGGACTTAGCAAGTAAAGAAGGCTAGAGCAACTAGAGTACCATTATTCATGTTAAGAATTATTCAGATGCGATGCTTAATATTTTCCGATTTTCCCTTGGTTTTAACTATAAGTTATATAGCTTTAGCTCTCTGCACCATCCCTATGATGTTCCATACATCCATATCAGGCCAGAACTGTTATTGACCTTAAAAAGGGGATTTTTTTCATTCCTATACCATAATTCAAACTTATCTACTAAAGTTCTCCAAAGTTTCAAATTTAGCTACTTTTTTACAATTTATATACAATCCATTATTAGTGCCTTAAATTAGGGGGTTTAGTTATACTCTTTTTCCTTTTTCTCTTCTCTCCTCTTTTTCTATTCTCTGCCGCTTCCCTCCACCCAAAACTCCCTTAATTGAGTGCGCACATATTGATCAATGGAGACATAGAGGACTTGGAATGTCACATATCCATCTCGAATGGAATCAGCTCTCAGCAACAAACTCACAGTACGTAACTTAAGATGCTCAGAATTGGGAACACTTGTCGATGCATAACTCTGCAACGTACCACTCTCTGTTCTCTACTTCCGTTGATGTAGCACCAGCAGCAACAACAGTTGAAACTCAACGATGACGCTTTTAATGTGAAACTCGAAATTTCTCCACCCAAACCATTTAGTTCCCATCAATATTCAAGTTTTTCAGTTCAAACAAACATGAATTAGTGCACATGAGTCGATTTGAAATTCATTCTCTATTTTTCTTTCTTTAACAAATTGAGTAGAAAAGAATAATGTATGATACAACAACATACAACAAATTCCGTACAAATTTGATACAAATATAATATATCTACAATAAAATACAATAAATTTCATACAACTAATTATACAGTATACGACCTTTTTTTTAAAATCAAAAGGGCCAGATTTTATTCATTTGTGGGAGTAAAAATTCTACATTTGAGAAGAGAGTGCTCAACACCTGCCCTTTCTTTGTCTTTGTAGGATTGATAAACAAATCTATGGAAATAGAAGATAACCAAAAAATAAGAAAGACTCCTACTTGAAACTATCAGCTAATTCACCATGTTATGAAGGTTCGAATTGGATTTCTGTTGCTTTCATTTGCTTGTAAATTTTGTGATTAATTGGTTGATCAATTAGTTATTGCATCCTTTCTCAGCTTGTTTCTATAAGCAAGCTGCGAAATTTTTGTCTAACTATTTTTGAGAGATTTAGAGATATCAAGGCTATTGACCTTTGGATAGAAGGAGCTCAGAACCATGTTTACTTGCACATCTTGATCGCCACAGTTCCCACATAACCATTGGAGGTAAGACTTTGGCTACAAAAGAAGTCACTATGTTGATGGATCTGTAATTCCACCATGAGTATAAAAGTTGTACTAAGAGCACATTCCTGCACTAATACCAAAGGGAGCACAAAAGTTACTCTAGGCTGCCTTTACAAACTATCCTGAGCAAAATAAATACTACTTAGTATTTTTCATAGTATGAGAGTTACAAAAGTAACACTTTGCCACCATTTGAAACCCCATTTTTGAAACTCTTTCATCCGTAGGAATGCGATTATGGACTGCTCTCCAAGTTAGGAATGTCATTTTAAATGGTACTGACTTGTGCCATATCTTTGCATCAGTAGTGTGATGGTTTCTCTTTTTCTCTTAGCACCTCCCAAGCTGAAGAGATAGTAAAAACTCCCTTGCTATTTGGTTTCCATATTGGCTTATCTGGCTTATCATCACCTAATTCAATATCTACATTTTGCAGTATGTCTTTGATAGAATCATCAAGTCCTAACTAGAAATATCTTAAGAGAGGAAGAGAAATCATTTGGATTTTAGGCGAAACCCTTCTCCGCAGTTACGGACTTGAGTCCTCTCTATACCTCTCATGTCCTTCTTTCCTTCGCTTGGGACTCACTAGAACACTCCTTGCTGCTTTCGTGCTTGATTGCTTCTGATGAACTAATGATAGAGATCCTTCCCTAACAGTTGTTATTCAATCCGTCCCTAAGAGTGAGAGGAGTAGTAGGAATTCACATTGCCTCCATTGCACTCCAGTGTTGTCCTCTTGTCATTCCCCATTTACAAGAACTTCATTTAGCTTGGTGTCTCTGCGTATGCTCCCCTCTGCTAAATGACTGTAGGGTGTGTCGTGTGAGGACCAATTATCATACCAGAAAGAAGTGTCTCCTTTCTTTACTAGCCACATCATCTGCTCCTCCACTTCATCTCTAATCCTACACAGTTGTCTCCAGTTATGAGATGAGTTTTGTCCAGGTTGCTTCACTACTAGGTGTACCATCCTACAATACTTTGCTAGCATGAAGTCCCTCCAGAGTCAATCTTATGTCCTTAATTTCTACCATGCCTTTGTGATAGAAACTAATGGTCCAACAAACTAATATAGAGAACTAGAGAACTAGGTTCTCTATCAGTTACCACAGAACACACACACATGGTTGTAAGTAAATAACTCAAGATAATTTTACGTGAAAAACTCACATCTCACGGGATTAAAAACCACGACCTACCCTTGTAGGATTTCAACTTCACTACTGAGCAAACTTCAGATTACAAATTGTTCTAACCTAGGAATTAAATCCCTCACTAACTTGTAATAACTCTAATATAAGCTCCTTATTTCTCAAGTGAGCCTTGCATTTTGCATACACAACTGTCAGATGCATTGGCGTTTGGCTCAAATAATGACTGATCTGGCATGTTACTTATTGTTCGGTGTCCTCTAAAATATTTACCACGTGACCGTGCCAAATCTTATTTTTACAATTGAAGAGGTTATGTTGTACTCCGAGCTGCCTGTGAAATCTTCCTATCTTAGTAGATTTTTTCATGGGTTCTTGCAGAGCAATAAAAGTAAGGTTATGTTGAAGTTTGACAGTTTTAAGTCTCTCATATGATTTTTGAGCTTTTATGCCCTAATATTACAAGAAATTGTGTTAATCATGGGAAACATCATGGGTTGAATTTTTTGTTTTATTTCTGTTTGTCTTTCGGGCCTTAGAAGAAAACCAAGGTCCTTTAACTCCACCAATACTTTGATTCCCCCTGGTAGATAGGTTATTAAACTTTGCTATTCTATCTTGAACACTTTGTGTAGCGTCCATAATATCAAAGTCGAATGTGGGTCTTCTTGTAAATTCATCATCTCACCTGACCTCCACTTCGACATACTATAAATGAAGCATCACCTCATCTAGATTGTCAAAAATTTTCCTTACTTCTGTTTGCATCATATTTGTATTCTACACCTTGTTACCCTCCGACACCACTGCTCCTAGTTTTGAATACATTTCAGAAGTCCCAGAGTGCACTGCTAGTTCTAGCTCAATATTCAGGCTGTGTTTTGATTTTCACTAGGTGAATCCTTATTGTTTAGATTCAACATTGGAAAATCAATCTTCCCAGCATTTGATTTTGGCAATTTGGTCTTTGGTACATTTTGTAGGTCAATTTTAGACTTGAACTTCTGCTTTTTTGTCGCATACAACTTTCTAGTTTGATCTATAGCTACATTAATCAGTTCTTGCCCGGTTGTCTGCAAATGTTCTTCCATTTGTTCTGGCATTATGATTCTCTTCTTTTTGCTCCTTTTTGCTTTAGTAATAGAACTTGTCTTTGCTTTCTTCTTCTTATTCTTCTTCACATTTTTATGTTTTTTTTCCGACATCTCCTCTATACTTGTACCCTTTATCACTGGAACATGGTCATATGTAGGAACCACAATCCCATCTCCCTGAATTGTATCCTCATCTATACCTTGCTTGTCAGATTCTATAACCTCCATAGCACTAAAGCCATTAGTT